ATATATATTTATATATATAATCATTCAGTGACAACACTGAAGAAATGACACTTTGCTACAATGTACTCACTTTTGTTGACAGCGGATTAGACATTAATGGCTGTATCTTGAGTTATCTTGAGGGGACAGCAAATGTACACTGATATACAAGCTGTACACTCACTACTTTACATTGTAGCAAAGTGTAATTTCTTCAGTGTCGTCACATGAAATGATATAATAAAATATTTACAAAAATCTGAGGGGTGTTCTCACTTCTGTGAGATAATGTGTATGTATATCTATATTAGGGCTGGTAATGATTAACATTTTCTATTCGATTAATCGAAATTTTTTCAAATCGATTAATTTCGATTAATTATAACTGGTTATGTAATATAATGCAGTCCATTGTTGTGTTGATGGATTGGTCATTTGACGAACACACTCAAAGAGGATTAACATCTGATGACACGGAATAGGACTTACCAATTTACCACTAGCACTGCACCCACAACTGGGTTAGTGGGTCAGAATCTCTTCAGTGCCAACACCTACCCAAAATCTTGTGTTTACAAAAAAGATCCTTTAGTGGCTGAATTTGTAAAGTATATGATGAGCTTGAAAATATTAACTTCCAATTTAATTTCCAATATTAGAAAACATTTGTCAGTGCCTTTCAGGGCACTTTGGTAGGCAGTTCACAAAAACCACTGACATTCCCATCCCGAGCCTTCTCCTCAAATAGTTGGGTTGGGTTCTCCCTAACAAATGCTATTGCATTCAGCACTGGGAGTGTCCCCACACCCTCTAACTATAGGTATAGGTTGTCACATCAGAAGAAGTGCTAGAAGAAGCTTACAGTCTAAATACTTGTAGGCCATCCCCGATGAAGCCTTCTTAGGGGGAAGAGATGATCAGTCAGGCTGAACTTTTCCTAACCAACTCCTAATGTTTTTCCCTGAGAAGCCAACACAGGGGATGTCCTTAGAGTGTCCCGATCAGCAGGGGCACAAGGATGATTGCTCCCTTTTGGCCTGTTAAATATACCACTGAAAGTATTCTTTCTAAATCTGTTTGGTAATCACGAAAAAATACCTGTTGTTCCTGCCAGAAATCTTGTGAGCTGATGACTTTTGCAGTCCCCGCCTGTGCTGATTATGATCAGTTATCAATGTTTCAAAGCTATCTTCGTGGACTACATAACACTTCTCCCAAGGTTTTGAAGGCACGTAGAGGGGGAGATGTCAGCTAACAATGACAATGTTGTTCTACCATAGATATAGTGCAGTGAATACATTGTCACCTTAGGACAGCAAGTGTGTTACTGGTAGGATCGCAATGTAAAAACGAAGGAAGTAAAACTAAAATTCTCTTTAAGATCTGCCAAAACATCCAACCAAAAGATATTTCCATACATTTAAATTATTGCTTACTTTGTATGGAATGCTGATTTCTGTAACACGCATAAAGACTCATCCCTCCCTTTTAGATTGTAAGCCCTCACAGGCAGGGCCCTCCTTATCATCTTGTCTTGAATTGTAATGTCTTCCTTATATTGTAAAGCCCTGCGCAAACTGTTGGCGCTGTATAAATCCTGTATAATGATAATAATCTAAAAACATTCACCATTGTGAACTGGTAAACTTCCTATGGAGACCAGCAATGGTGTTTTATCCAAGTTCTCATTGGTCGTATAGAAGCCCTAAACTTTTATTTGTATCCACCTACGTTGGTGATTTTCCACAGTTGCCACTCAGCTTTATTAAAATGTAGATTTTCCTAGAGAATGATGACAAACTTTTGCCCAGTGTTCACAAATATACCCCAACGCATCACAGAAAAAAAATAATCATTATAATAAAATGCAGTGGACTTAGTGAAAGATTTACACATTTTTGGTATTCAATCCATGAACACCTGCAGTTTTAGAATGCGGGCCCACTAGTTTATGTAATTAAAATAGTTTCCATTATCTCAGTCGGCTTTGCACCGGGACCCTTTAAGCTGCTTCCTCAACAGTTTTTCTGTCCTGTGCCTCAATCAGTTTTTCATGTCCCAAGCTTTCAAGGCCCAGTTTGCATAACAGGTAGTAACAGGCATTTCCTCCTCCTGTATGGGGACATCCTGGCGCCCTCCAGTCTCTGTCCCTCGGCCCAGCGTTCAGAGCAGACTGCAGCACAAAAAAAGGAAGCGAAGGGCAAGCTAAATATAGCATTGGGGAGTGTGCATGCTGCTGTGTGCCAGGGAGAGACAAAATAACAACACAGAGTGCTTCCTTCCCAATAAAAACAGGCAGGATAACCGCAGCCAAATCTAGAGAATAGAGTGCTGGTGATCGCTGCTTCTCATGACTGAGCTACACTTCTGATATGAAATCATTCATAGTTTCGAACCTAAGGACACACTATTTAGGTCACAAACAATGCTAAATTGACATTGGGAGTTGCAGAAATTGGCACACAGAGTTGAGGCCACAAAAGATTGTGGAGCACATAGAAGAGTGGCATCAGAGTCTGCCCTTTTTTTATTTTGTTTTTCTTTTTGTTGGAGTATAGATCTAGGTTTGTACCAAGCATGTTAAATCCCTTACTGTTGACTGACTCGACTGCCTCTCCTGGAAATCTGTTCCAGGCGTCTAAGCTACTCTTGTTTTTAAAACAATTTGTTTTAAGATAAGTGTTGAACTTTTCTCCTGCTGGTTTGAGTTCCTGTCCATGTACTCTTGATCTTAGCTTCATATTGAAAATGATGTGCTCATAAACCTTATTCACACCCTTAACATGTGTAAAGGGTTTAATCATGTCATCGCTTTCCCTTGTCTTATGAAGACTGTACATATTAAGTTTCTGTAGTCTTTTGTGTTCAAAACCGTCTTAACCATTTGCCGTCGGCCCGTTGTAAATAAATGGACGGACAGCAAGCTCCTATCAGCGGGGCACGTAAATGTATGCCTTTTTTTCTGCTTGCGCGTGCCTCCTAGCACGCGCACACGAGCAGAACACATTGACAGGTGTTAACGGCTGTTACACATACAAGCGGTCGGCGGCTCTATAGCCGTCCGATCGCTTGTATGTGCTTCCCTGCAGTGTGCGCCTGCCCCCACCTCCCCCCTCCAGTGCCATTAACTTCCATTCCGGGTTCCGCTGTCCCCTCTGCGGGACAGGAAGAAGGTTTAGCACACCTGTCTTTAAGTGGTTAAAAATACCCCTATCTTTACGGGATTCACACAGTACAACTCTGAATTCTTGAGATACATAAATCTAAACAACACCAGACCAACAGCTTAATATACAGTTCAACTACATTTATGGTAACCGTTTTTGCTGTCAAAGTATTTGTAATTCTGTCCTGACAGTCCTGAGATGTACACTGCCCTCTCAGTGAGCCAAGTTAGGTTGGTGACCTGACGTTTCTCTGCTTCAGTTAAAGCAATGAGGGCATGTAACCTCCATGCCCCCAGCCTGTGACTGGACAATAAGGGAGTAGCTGCAGACTGATGAGCTTATCATTCTGCTTATTCTCTTCTGTTTTCCCTTTGGCATGTTTCTTGCCATCACAGATTTATTTATTACAGGTATTTATATAGCACTGACAATTTACATAGTGCACATTCACATCAGTCCTTGCCCTGAAGGAGATTACAATCTAAGGTGCCTATCTCACATGCACACAGGGCTGATTTAGACAGAAGCCATTTAAACTACCAGCATGTTTTTGGAGTGTGGGAGGAAACCGGAGTACCTGGAGGAAACCCATGCAAGCACTGTACTGCAACACACCTGATTGGCCCCTAGTGTTGGCCCTCCTTCTCCAAGTTTGCAATACACAGGATTACAAGAGGCTCATGCCAAGATAAATGGTATAGTTAATGAATATATAACTGATTTTGTTTTTAGATCTGCCCAGATTTCTGCTTTAAAGGTTCTCTTCATCTGAGTATAAACCATTTGTATATACACTCAATTTGGCCACCCAACCTGCCTGCTGAATGAATCTAATTTTGATTCTGACATTCACTGTGAAACCTCCATCTTTAAGAACCATGTTGGGTGGTGTGCTAAGAAACAAAAACAAAAACAAACTAGCCTGTTAAGCCTAGCTTCAGTGCAATGAACTGATGGTCAGTAGAAGTCAGATATCACCAACTGATTTACTTCTTAAAGTAATTCAATACGTAGAACTCTAACAAATAAACATTTCTGGTTAGTATGTCAATGTGCTTGAAACATTGTCAGATTTTTGCTACTAAAAGAGGATTTAGTTCTGGGTGGTGCCGGATCACACTGACACATTAGGTCTCAATGATGTGGAGAACCTTCCAAAAGACGAAGACTTCATAACAGAAATGCAGACTTGCACTTAAAGGCTAAAGCAGCTACACTTTCCTCTGCCGAGTCAGGCACTCTCCTGCACGCCAAAGTCCTAAAGGAGGATGATTATGTTACCCCTGAAATGTACTGCCCTCTAAAGGATAATTAAAAAAAGGCAATAATCCGCGTCTGAGCACCTCCATTTAGGAAATTTCCCCCCACTTCCATTCCCACAGAGAAAGTGGCCACAGGGCCTATTCCAAACCAATCGCAAACAGCAAAAAAGCAGTCAAGGTTGGGTTGGGCTGTCTATGTCCCTGTTGGGAAGATTGTCCCAAACTTACGGAGGATGTGGTCACTAGTATAGAAAGCTATACTATGAAAACTCAACATTCTACAGTTGAACTTGAAATCTGTATGCCAATTATTTAAAAAAAAAATACAAAAATATGATATGCTATATATAAAATACGTAAGAACTGTCAATTAACCAGCATCATTTCTATCTTCTTGCAGGTTTCGTTCTGGTCATTGGACTGGTGACCTTCTACCGCATTGGCCCCCACACTAATTTATCCTGGTCCTGTTACTTAGACATCGGTGCTTGCCTTCTGGCTACTCTGGCAGCTGCTATCCTCATATGGAACATACTCCACCGGCGTGAGGACTGCATGGCGCCCCGAGTTATCGTCATCAGCCGTACACTGACTGCTCGTTTCCGCAGAGGGCTAAACAACGATTATGTTGAGTCTCCATGCTGATGACAGCAATGAACACACATTGTCAGATGCTAATGACTAATCTATATAACTTTATCCAAAAACATTCAAGGGACATGAAATGCAAATTCATTCATGAGTATAACATAAAATAAATATGCATCACTTTATTTAGCTATGTGAGGAGAACGTAACACAAAGCCTGATTCTAAGATTGTGGCACACTCACATTATTTAAGGATGCTTTGCTCATGCTATCGCTATTGGACTCATTTGGGATACAAATAAAAGTGTTTTCTCAGCTTAGGATTGGTACCTGGAGATGTCCAATATTGCATTTGCACATATTCTCGATCTATTTTACGATGGATATCCTCTATAATGGAGAATCTATTAATTCCACATCATGCATTCCTTTAATATGATCTATAATACAAGTGAGCACTTTTTTTTATCATAAAACGTGTTATTATGGATGAGTGGAAACAGCAATCGACTAATAAAATGCTAATAAAAAAGGTCCTAGCAACATCTTTGGTAAAAGAGAAGAGATGGAGCCTCCAGTCCTTCAGGAAAGTAGACAACACCTGGAGACTAGAACGGTGTGGTGTTGACAGGATGCTCAAAGGACTGTCTGGGATGTACCAGTTTTATAATTCCTAATGTATAAAATAACCTATAACAAAATATTGTAATGTTTTTGTTATTTATCACATTTTTGTAAAGTTTATGTCTAAGTAAAAGACCAGTTACAAGCACAAATGGATTTGCTTTGTCACCCACAAAGAAAGTTTAGCTTGGCATTTAAGTGATACTTCAAATTTTCTGCAGCGATTGATGGTTAACACGGTACAAGATTCTATTACTCACGCAGAAAAAAAGAAAAGAAAAAAGTGTAGCCATCCGTGAACTGAGAACAGTCGAAATAAGAACAATGGCAAAACATCACAAGCTTGTCCGGTGTCCTAATCATTATAGTAACTATATAGTCATTGCAATCTATGCAATCATTAATACTTATTATTGCCAACATGTTTTTTTTTATTATGGATAGAGTGGAGAAGAATTACCATCTCTGTCAGCTTTTTATTAGTGTCTATGTATCTCCGTTAGGAAGGTTCACAATTAGTATTTGTCCTTACAACCACTGTCACTGAGACGGAAGGCAGTGTTTTTGCACTAGACACCAGAACAGAAGTAAAAAAAGAGATCTTTCAGTGGCAACATCTGTTTCAGAACTATGGAAAGTGGGAATTCCACTCATTTTAGGGAGATTAATACTCATTTCATGTTGTGCCTCCAGCACAGAAAGTGAAGGCAAAGCCCCCCAGTTAGAACACAGGTTCTAACACTTTTTCACTCTATTTAAAGCAAAAAAAACCTCCACTTAATAAACTCAATTTTATTGATTGAGACTTCCCCAGTCTTCTTGGCGTGTCACCCTCCACTCTGTTCAGTGAGGTCCTTTCAAAACTACTGAATATGACAATGTCCACTGTATCCAGTTGGATATCCTCCACTTACCTTTGTAAGGTCATTTTACTTAGTGCAGCAGATTTTATGCCTTTCACTTTGGGAACCTTTTATACTCCTTAGTAAAGCCCATGCACTGTAATTATTGTGGCACCCCCAACTCTGCTCAATATGGCAACCCCAACTCTGCTCAATATGGCACCCCCATATGTTTTTAGTGCAGACCCCTCTCCTTTATACATGTTGAACGCACTACTGTGCTGGACATTCTCCGCCTTGTGAAGTAAATCGGCCTTCCCTATAAATGATGTGGCCTAAGCCAGGGTAATAATTTTGGCTCCTTCCATGCTATACAACAGGCAACTGCAACTAGACAAAAAAGGGCACTCCACCCTGTAGAACATGGCCCACTTTGATGCAACAGCATGTGGCATGTCCCATGCTATTAAGGCATAACCAAAACTTTTTTTCAGTTTTGGATAGAGCTGGGAAAAATTAAAACCCCTCAGTTTATTTGTTTTTTTATCTATGTCCAATGGGGGAGATTCCTTCCACTTCCTGTTCCAAAGTTGCAATAGGAATCGAGAGGAAATCTCTTCAAAGCAAGGAGCATTATCTAGCTGTCACTGGAACAAGTGTGCCCAGTGGAAGATATACCTTTACCTCTTGTTCTAGTGAAAACTGTAAAATGATGAATTCCCCATAAAATTCTGTCTCAGTGAAAATAGTGACCATGACAATTAAAGAAATGTAATCTCCCCACATGGATGCAACTCTTCCCTACTAAATCCATAACTTTAAAAAAAAACAGTTTTTGCTATATTACGTATACTTCTATACTTTATCTATGGCATATTCCACACTGCTTAAAGGGGAAACCTCCACTCTGATAATTATGATGCCCCTTCACCCACTGTTACACAATCACCCTCTTCTACTTGTTCACACAGTTTTATTGACATTGTCCCCCAGACCCTTAATGGAAGGAAACTTCCAGCGCTTCATTTTGTGAGCACTTCCTATTTGGTGTGAAAACCTCTCCATTAAACAAAGCAACTGGCATTTTACTGTAGATTTCCTATGAAGTTAATACAAGAGGATATTTCCTTTGTATGTGTGGAAGAGGCATTAGTCTTCTGTACAAGCAATGCCCATAGAGAAGAAGGTCAGGGTCACTTCCCCTCAAGCCCAATAATGCTGAAATCATCATTCAAGAGACTTCCGTACAAATATGATCTGTGCACTCTGTCTGGACCCAGATCCCAGCAGCTTACCAACCCGGCCATCACCCAGACAACCACAGCAGGATACATTAATATTGTTATACAGAATGAAAGAGTGAGAAGGATGTATGAATATAATATAACAACACAATCTTTTTATATTATAACTAAAATGCAGTTATCATCTAAGTATCTTAAGCCCCCGATGCTAATTTAGACCTCCCCTTTACAGGACTTCTCCTCACTAAGTGACTCTTCCCAAAGCAGTTGAGTTTGTCGCCTCATGTTCAATTAGAGGCTTTGCGGGTACCGGTAAGTTACCTAATTTTACATTTTGAAGTACAGGTTAAAAATAACATAACGGTTTACCTTTTCTTAGTCATTTTTTATTAGAGTCCATTCACAACTTCTCGTTCTGGTACACTGTGTTAACGCATGTGTGTACCAAAATGCACAGGTGTGAATGGGCCCTTAGCCTTTGTATACAAAATTCCTGTAGATGCCAATACTTTTTGCTTTAAGTAAAAACTATGTTGTAAAAGTGACCTTGATGGAAAAAAAAAAAGCTGGTCCTACCTTTTAATGAGCTTGATGGATTTAAAGGCTTCATCCATGTCTCCCACAGTGAGGTAGAAACTGAAGTTAAGAAGGGCATCCCGGGTTGCCTTTTCACAATCTTCCAACCCAATGAAATCTCGTAAGGGCTTCGTTGCCACCATATGGGGGATCGCTGGTATGTCTGTTTCTCCAGAGACAGATTTCTCATCCTCTTCCCCTGGCTGTGAACGTATGACATCATAAGCAAACAAATACAAATCTAGTTCATACAACTGCAAGGAGGTGGGAGGGGCTCCTAACATAAATTGGACAAAAAATGGTTCTTTCAATTATGAAAGTGTGTGCTTCATTGGGAAGTAGAATGTTTAAGGATTATCTAGATCTGTGTGCCTCCAGGTTGTTTGTCAGATCCAGGTTGTTTGTCTGATAAGATGGCAGCTAGAAGTATTAAGCTGGCCATACACTATACAAATTTCAGCCGGTTCTTGATGATCCGGCCCAAATTTGCACAGTGGGTGCCGCCGTCAGCACCCTTTCGGCCACCATCCCTCGATCAACTGATCGAAGGAGCTGGTCGGAAAATCTTCAAACTAACAGAGTCGGCAGCCAGTGAACTTATGGCTATGTGTGGGTATTCTGACAATGCGAACAGCAGGAGATTCCTCGATCAATGCTCTTGAGCTTTGATGGAGGAATCGATTATATTTTCTTTGTTTGGCCCGTGGGTTGAACGAATAAAATATTACAGTGTATGGCTAGCTTTAGTCCCAATCAACTAGACTTGTTCTGTAATGTTAAGGACGTTTCACTACTCATTCAAGTGGCTTCCTCAGAGCTAATGAGTTTCAGGAATATCTCTACCCTGGCGATTTAACAACAATTCACACCTTCGGCTATGTAATGTGAACAATTCACGTCTGTCCCAGACTTCATGGCCTCATGGTGATTGGATTATGTAATTAGAACAGGGTGGTTCCACAAACTTTAACACCTCCTACCTTGTTCTTGGACAATCACTATCTGACACTTTGCATGGCGATTGGATTAAGGAGGCTGAGTTGCCTGTGCGGTTGCTCATTTCATTTTCCATCAGTGTTGCGACTATACGGTAGACAATGCACTTGTAGAATGTTTTGTACCATTATTTAGAATCTTAGACAGGGAACATGGGGGATATATCAAAGGTGGTGTACTGTTTTAAACTATCTTACCATGTGTCTTACCATCTTGTTGTGACTGGGCTCAATTCAACACAATTTTCTAATCGTTAAAATAAAAGTTATTCATTTCTAACTACATTGTATGTATTTTTCAAGACCCTTCTGGTATCTTTAAAGATCCCCAATCATCTCTTTACTTGTTTTGCATACAACTAGGATGCTGGTATCCATATACATTTAGCATTAATAACCTTACCTCCATATACTCCATTTACTGTCAATATGTAATAAGAACAGGGTGGTCTCATAAACATTAACACCCCATCTTCTTCTTGGAAAATAAACATCTGCCTTGACACTTTCCATGGTGATTGGATTAGGGTGACTGAGTTGCCGTGCGGTTATAAATGCTGGGATATGTTAACGTCTTCAACATTACAGAACAAGTACAGTTGAGGGCCCATTAATACTGTTGCGTTGTGGGGTTGTTTTTTACTGCACTGTGCTGCAATGCCAGCCCACTTAAATAAATAGGCTACTTAATGTAAATAGAGTTAAAGGAGACCTATGGGGTTAGGACTTTTCCCCATAGTTCTCCTTAGGGTAACGGGAGGACACAAACTGGCGTCCTCTCGTCACCCTAAGCTCAGTATACCACGAGCTACAGCTAAAGCCGTGACAGGATCGAGAGGTGAGCGAATGCCGCTATGTGTGCGCTCACTTCCCGATCTACTGAGCCGACCTGTGACAGTCTCATTGTCACAGGCTGGCTAGAACTACGAGGTGAGTGAAAAGCACTCACCTCATAGTTCTCCTTTAACGTGTTTGCTACAAAATTCAGGAGAATATAGCTGAATGGGCCCTATATGTGACTAACTCCTACTACCGTAGATATACCATGACCTGGACAAACAAGAACCTTCGCAGACATAACCCGACAGCACTTTTGGTGGACTGACCCTTTAATATTACTCATGAAAATAATATCACTGTCTATGATCACAATGGTATTATCAAAGCGTAAACTAAAAATAATGTCACAAATCTGCAAAGATGACATCTTTATACTTACAACAGGCTGATATACACAGCCCCTCCGGAACAACAACTGAAGGCAAATGGTGAAAAGACAAACATAAAATAAATATACCACGCAAAGCAAAAAAAAAAGAATTTAAAAAAACACGCAAAACAAATGCTGATGGAAAACAGAAAAACAGTCAATGAAAACTCATACTAAAACATTAAAAACAATTGTTAAAAAACAGTATTTATCAGCCATTGACAGCACAAGGCACATTAATAGAATGCATGCAACAAGATCGGGTTGATTTACTGAAGGAAAAGAGACTGTTCACCTTGCAAAGAGAAATTATAGTGAATCAGGTGAACCTGTATTCACAATCCATAAACAATCGTGTGTAAGGACAAACAAGAGGATTTTTTCTTTACGGTATTATTCTTACAGGCATTTATACAGTACTAACAATTTATGAAGCACTTTACATAATGTACATTCACATTAGTACCTGCCCTCAAGCAGATTACAATCCAAGGTCCCTATCTGACATGCATACTTACACACACGCGCGAGCGTGCTAGGGTCAATTTTAGATTGGGGCAACATCAGCCAAATAACCTCTATGCAGATAGTATCCTGGATTTGACACTATCTGCATTTGATTTGAAAGGAGGAGCCCATCACTGCAAGGCAAAAGTGCTAATCACTAAGCCACCGTGCTGATGGGTTGAGTGAATACAGCACAGATTAGTATCTATTCCTTAAAGCTGAACTCTGGGCAAAACTGTTTTCAACCTTTGCAGTGGGGGCTACCCCCACACTGCAAGGGTTAAGTGTTCATTTCTGTCTAGGTGTTGAAAAAAAAAAAAGTTATACTCACCCATTTTGCAGAGCTGGCTGGATGGCTGCTATTCCAGTCTTTGAAGCCTGTCTCCGCTGCAGCAAAGGTATGTCCCCTAGTGTCCTCATGTCCTACTCACACTGTATAGAATGTGATGACTGAAGGATCTTTGGACCACTGCAGAGGAGGGGAGAGAGGCTCCAGGGACCGGTCGTGGAGTAGGCCAGCAACAAGGATCAGGTGAGAATAACTTTTTTTTTTTTAAGCACCTAGACAAAAATCAGCACTTAACCATTGCAGTGCGCGGGTAACCCCACTGCAAGGGTAAAGAACACTTTTGCTTCAAATTCTACTTTAAGTAAATCAACCCCTTTGCATTAGAGAAGGTTCATGAAACATTATGCAATTAATAAATAATACAAGGAGCTTCCCTGTATTAGTAGCCACATTTGTGACAAGATGGCAGACTACGCACCTTCCTTGTGAAATAATAGTGTGGAACTTCTATGCCAAGAAGTGACTGGAAGGCTGCAGGCCTGGGGTAACTTTCCTGAAGTAGCAGACCGTGTTCCTGGGTGCTAAAAAATGACATGATCATAACGTCTTCCTGTAAAGATATAAATAAATGCTCAGGCAATCTCCCAATATCCAAATCACAAGAGGAAGTAAAGTGACACTAACCTCAGGAGTTAAAAAGTTGTTAAACCCTCCGTTTTTTTGCACATATCTACTGCTAGCAAAGTATTGGCAGTGTGGGTAATAATTCACCTTGATATAACAACTGCCCTCCTTGTTAGTATACAAACGGTGTGAGCCCCAAACACAACGTCTTCTACATGGTTATGACTCAGAGAAGAATTTTGGTACGTACTGTTAAGCATATCATGGATAATCATGGATGTACATGATTTGGAAAACACAAAACGTTGTTGATGCTTATATCCCATGAAAGCTATTGTAACTTTACTTATGCTCAACACAATGAAATATTTTTTGGGGAAAAAAAAAAATAGTTGAGATACTTTGATGCATTTTTAAGGTTTAGTGTCACTTTGACTTTTGATAGACCATTTTAACATATTTCTATCCTAAATTAACCTTCAGAGAAAATAAATAGGACATTAACTTTTATAGAAAAGAGAATACAAGGGGGAGAATTGATCAAAACTGGAGCAGACAGAATCTGAAGCAGCTGACCATAGAAACTAATCAGCTTCTGTCTTCAGGGTGTTCAGTTAAGGTTTGAAAATAGATAGAAGCTGATTGGCTGCCACTGACAACTGCTCCAGATTCTGTTTGCTTCAGTTTTCATAAATTCTCTCTCATGTGTAAATGTAATATAAACACACACACACACACACACACACACACACACACACTTGGGGGGAGTTCATAAAAGCTGGAGGAAACAGAATCTTGAGTTTTTAATGGCAACTAATCAGCTTCTCTCTTTCAGTTTTAAAGCGCAACTGAACATATTGAAAAGAGAAGTTGATTGGTTGCCATAAGCAACTGCTCCAAATTCTCCCTGCTTCAATTTTTATGAATTCACCCACTGTGTAAATGTACACAGGTGGAAATTATATTTTAGGTCTTGTTCACACCACATACAGTGCTTTCCAGAACGGTTAGCTGCTGAAGTACACTGTATCGCATACCGGCCGGCCTCCTGCGTTCAGGGGCGGGAGGGGGCGTGGCGGTGCATTGAAGTCAATGGCACTGCAGCCACGGCCCCGGCCAACAGTGCAATCGCCCGCACCAGAACATGTATATAGTGCATGAAGCATTTTTTCAGATCCCACTGGACCGGAACAGAGGCATTGATGTGCCACATATTCTGGCGCGGGCGATCGCACTGCGGGTGGGGGTGTGGCTGCGGTGCCATTGACTTCAATGCACCGCCACGCACCCTCCTGCCCCTGAACGCAGGAAGCTGGCCCGGGATGTGATACAGTGCGTTCCAGCAGCTAACCGCTCTGGAACGCATAGAATATGGTGTGAACAAGCCCTAAATGCTCAAATGATAAAAGTTTAATTCTGATTGTGCCACCCTTGTGCTTTCTAAGGCCCATGTCACATGACAACTCGCCAGCAACAGGACCCCTAACAGACCATGTATCTGTTATTATGGAGTTGCTGCTTTTCTTGCTGGAACCAATCTTGCTGGAAAGATGTCTCTCCCTCTCTGCCAGCACCCTAAGCGAGTGAAGTTCAGCAATGTTCTGGGCCAGCAAAGAAGCAATAGCATTGGTGAAAGCCTCTCCTCTTTGATTCTGCTATGGCGATGTATTGCTGGCAGCATAATCCCCCATGTGACATTGCATAAGGGTGGCTACAAAAAGGTAGAACAAGTGTACACTGTACCTTTCCATGAGGGACTTCCACAAGCTGGTTGTGTTTCGGTGACGGATGCAGGGAGTTTGGGACAGCCAACATTGCCTCACACGCCAGGAGTCGCGGTTCGCTCTGGTCCCAGAAGTGATTGATTGGGATCCGATCGAAAAGCTTGGAGTTCTCTGGGAGATTCCTATTGGTACAAAAAATACTGATTTAAAACTGGAAACAACATTTAAAGGGAATTTCCAGTTACTTTGGAATAGAGTGAAGAAGGGTTAGAACCTACCCCATGCTACCTATGTCCCAGATTTGGAAATTATCTCTCATTTCCTTTTCTGGTGACAACTGCTAATGGTGGCAAGTGAGAGTTAATCTCCTTTGTGGGACACCACTACATAAACCTCACAGGGTCTACTATTACACATGCCATTTAGATAGGTCTGATACTTGTACAATACACCTTGGTTTATATAAACCAATTGATAATATTTATAGCTGCATATGTAACAGTTTCAGAAGCCTTTAGAACTGAAGATATTGGAGATAAAGTTTTGTTCTCAGGAAGATAAAATCCCATTGCAGTCCAATAATCACACTGAAGGACATTGCAAGCGGCCTCTGGCAAGTCTCCTTTAACCCAAAATTGGGTAGGCAAACTCCGGCCCTCCAGCTGCTGTGGAACTACAAATCCCATGAGGAATTGCAAGTCTCTGAAAGCCACAGGCATGACTCCCAGAGGCAGATGAATGATGACATTTGTAGTTTTACCACAGCTGGAGGGCCAGAGTTTGCCTACACCTGATGTAAAATAACAGTCTCCTCTTAGCACTATACCAAAATTATAAAAGCAACGTCACCTGTTAAAAATGTTGTACAGAATTCCAAACTTTCATGGGGCTGTAACTCATGATTATTTTCATAATCAAATAGTTGGACGATTATTTTTTCGATTAATCGTATTAAAAAAATTAAATAAATAGCATTCTTAATTAAAAATAAAATACACAAATGCCGTGTTACAAGCATAAAGTTTACTTCCGAATAAAAGTGCATGCACAATTTATTGCAATCACACTGCACTGGAAAACATGACATTGCGATATCGTGCGTTCCAGTGCGGGCGATCACACTGCGGGTGGGAGGCGGTTTTTGGTTGCTATTGAAATGAATGGCACTGCAACACACCTTCCACAGCAGAATTCGTCAGGCCGAAACCAAAAATTTTTTTTTCCCCACCTTTTATAAGGTTTTTATTTTTAAATAATGGTATTGTAAGCACATGGCGCTTGAATAGCTTCATCCCGGGATGACAGCTGCCATTGGTAAGGTTCTGCAGATGGCAGCTGAATGTAAATACAGCAGGTAGTGGGCTGGTGCAATAGCCAGTCTGCTATTGGTCATTTCAAATTGCAATAGCCAGTAGCAGGCTGGCTATTGCACCCGCCCACTGCTTGCTGTGCCCTCCTCCCAGAGTGGAGGAGAGAGCTAGGAGATTCAACCAACTAATCCATAATGAGAGTAGTTGACAACTATTCTCATTATCGATTAATTGATTAGTTGGATGCAGCCCTAAACTTTCATTTACAGATCATCAATAATTAGTAGTTCTTTACATACATTTATTGATTTTTTTTTAAGCAGCTTAAAAAACAATACATACTGCTACTTCAAAGTGTATACCATTAGGGAGCAAAAGCATACAAAGACTTAAATTGCTTAATGCAAACAAAGCAGTGGGTCCCTATAACCTGCACCCCAAGGTACTTAAGGAACTAAGCCATGTTATATCTAGACCTTTATTCCTCATTTTTAAGGACTCCTTAATGACGGGTAGGATCCCCTGTGATTGGCGGAGGGCTACGGTAGTCCCAATATTCAAAAAGGGGGCTAGGTGCCAACCTGGGAACTATAGGCCGGTCAGTCTAACATCGGTAGTTTGTAAAATGCTAGAGGGCATAATAAAGGATTATCTGGTAGAATTTGTTCAGGAAAACGGGATAGTTAATGACAATCAGCACGGGTTCAGGAAAGATCGTTCCTGCCTGACTAACCTGCTAACTTTTTATGAGGGGGTGATTAGAGATATGGACGGGGTGAAGCCGGTAGACGTGATATATCTGGATTTCGCAAAGGCATTTGATACGGTACCACACAAGCGCTTGCTACACAAGCTGAGGGCTATGGGCATAGATGAGGTGGTGTTTACGTGGATAGAGAACTGGCTACGGGAACGGGTCCAGAGGGTATCTGTAAATGGCACCTTTTCAGACTGGGCTAGTGTAATGAGCGGTGTGCCTCAGGGTTCTGTGCTGGGTCCCATATTGTTCAACTTATTTATTAATGACATCGGGGAGGGTGTTAACAGCGATATTTCCGTGTTTGCGGATGACACCAAAATAGGGAGGGTAATAGACACGGACTTAGACACTATAACATTACAGGAGGACCTGGATAAAATAGGGGAGTGGGCATTAATGTGGCAGATGAGGTTTAATGTCGATAAATGCAAAGTAATGCACTTTGGAATTAAAAATAAACAAATGGGTTATACAATTATGGGTATGCCGCTAGGGAAGTCAGAAATGGAGAAGGATTTGGGGGTCATTGTAGACCACAAACTGAAAGGTAGTTTGCAGTGCCAGGCTGCTGTAAACAAAGCTAGCAGGGTCTTGTCCTGTATTAAAAAGGGGATGTATTGCAGGGACAAGTCTATAATTTTGCCACTTTATAGATCATTGGTTCGACCTCATCTGGAGTACGCGGTCCAGTTCTGGTCACCAGTACTAAGAAAAGATGTCCTTGAGTTGGAAAAAGTCCAGCGGAGGGCAACCAAACTAATTAGGGGTATGGAGGACCAGAGCTACGAGACGAGGCTACTAAATTTAAACATGTTCACATTGGAGGTGAGGAGATTAAGGGGGGATATGATCTCCATGTACAAAATGTTCAATGGTGATAGCAACATTGGCGATAAACTATTTAAAATTAACTCCGTTACAAAAACTAGAGGCCACCACCTAAAATTGGTGGAAAAAAAATTCCAGCACATGGGGCGAAAGGGGTTCTTCACAGTTAGAGCGGTTAGGGTCTGGAACTCACTGCCACAGGCGGTCATTTCAGCAAATAATGTGGAATTGTTCAAGAAACTTTTGGATGATTTTTTAAGGGACCGTAATATACAGGGGTACAGTTACTCCTAGAATGAGATCCTAATAGGTTGGACTTGATGGACTAATGTCTTTATTCAACCTCAAATACTATGTAACTATGTAACTATGTAGCTTCAACTGATCCCTTTTGGAACACATGCCTGTAATCACAATATTACAAATACACAAAAAGCATTCAGACTACAGTGATATAAGGAAAAACTGATGCCTATATCCCTGGCACCAAACAGTCCCAGCCACAGATCTTACAAGTCTGAATTGGATGGAGTTGGTGAATCCCCTTGGTCTGTTTGTCCATTCCAAAAGTCAAAAAACATCACAGTGTCCAGTTCAACATCGTAGAAGTACATTTTGGAGTCCAAGTTGCCGTCAGCCTGAAATAGTATAGAGATAGTAATATATCATATTTAATACCAAGGAAAAGTGGAAGATAATGGAGATTCTGATTAGAAAAAAAATGAAAGTAAAAATAAAATATCATAAATGTTTTATTTATTTGTATTTAGATGTATGCCTTTTAAGACTTTTATTAAATAATACAATATTGCATACTGTATATTTAAAAACAGAACTCCGGGCAACATTTTTATTAATCCTTGTAGGGGAGCTACCCCCACACTGCAAGGCTTAAAGTGACATTAAAGTTAAAAATCTTTTTCCCTCCCCCATTTTAATTAAAGCACTTACCTTAAAGGAGAACTATGAGGTGAGTGCTTTTCACTCCTCATAGTTGTAGCCGACCTGTGATAATGAGACTGTTACAGGTCGGCTCAGTTGATCGGGAAGTGAGCGAACACATACCGGCGTTCGCTCACTTCTCGATCCTGTCATGGCTCTCTGCCGTGACGGGGGAGGGGCTGGATTCCCCCCTCCCCGCTCCTCAAGCGCTGACTGGCGGAACGGACGGGGGAGGGGGCGGGTACAGCTGGCTCTGCCTCTAGATAGGCAGAGCCAGCTGTCACTCACGCAGCTGGGCAGATCCAGACATAATTGTCGGGATCCGCTGCGGCGTCTCGGTATACCGTGAGCTGTAGCTCGCGGTATACTGAGCTTAGGGTGACGGGAGGACGCTAGTTTGTGTCATCCCGTTACCCTAAGGAAAAATTTTCGGGAAAAGCCCTAACCCCATAGTTCTCCTTTAAATGATGTTTCTTCTTTCCTGTCCTTTTCATCTGTCCCTCCAGCACTGCAGCGGGTCTCCGATCCAGCTGACTCCTCTGAGCTTGCTGGCACTTCCTGTCCCACGGTGTCTGCACGAGGGTGCACGCGTCCAAAGACTTACCTTGCGTCTCTCTTTACGTCCTGGCCGAAAATGTGAACTGCGCATGCGCCCGCCGGAGAATTTTCACATTTTCGAACAGGAGCGCGCGGGGAAGACACAGGTAAGTATTAACCCTTTTCAAAGCGGTTTTTTTGACACTTTTTGCATGTATCTACTGCTTGCTAGCAGTAGATATATACAAAAAAAACAGAGGGTTTAATAACCCTTCAACTGCTTGTTTGGTCTAGGGACTAAAATTAAAAAGTTTAACAGGCGGGCTTGGAAGATCGGGTGAGTATGAGGTCCTTCCAGCTTTTCTCCCCCTCCTCTGCGGTGGTCTAAGGTCCCGTAAATCATCACGTTCTATACATGTGTATAGCACGTGAGGACACCAAGGGACATAACGTCGATGCAGCATAAGAGAAGGCAGGCTAGAGGGAGCACTGTGACAGCCAACCGGCTCCAAGGTTCGGGTGTGCATAACTTTTTTATTTTAGTCTCTAAATGAAAATTAGAAGTTAACCCTTACAGGGTGGGGCTAGCCCCACTGCAAGGGTTAATAATGTTTTTTGCCTAGAGTTGTTCTTTAAATACCACCATCTCTATCACCCGTGCCTCCCTTTTAGATTGTAGGCTCTCATGAGCAGGGCCCTCCAAACCATCTTGTATTGAATTGTATTGTAACTGTACTGTAATCCTTTACATTGTAAAATGCTGCACAAACTGTTGGTGCTATATAAATACCATACAATAATAATAATTATAACAATTATCTTATCTTTGCTCTATACATGGAAGCAGCGGTCTCTCTGCAGAGGTCTGACATGCCCTTTCTGAGTCAGAGCTAAAACACTAATCAGCCAAATTCATATTCCTGCTGACTGGTTAGTTATAGGTCTGACTCTGGGGGGGAGCTTGAGTGACCTCTGCAGAGAGACCATTGCATCCACACAGAGAGTAGTGGTTCTTATTTATACTGTATTGCTCATTGTACATGTGAGCATGCAATCTTTGTAAAATCAACTTTAGATTTCCCAAAACTATGCAATATGCGCAATCACGTTCAGTGCAGAACCCACCTGCGAATTACGGATAGATTTTGGTCAGGAGTGCAATGGGCCCACATATGTTTGACTCTACACCGTGCATGGACACATGCTACATCACTATAAATTGATTCCCATTGCAACTGATTCTATATTTTGCTAATTTATACAGTGCTGGCATTTATTCCACAGTGATTTGCAGAGAACCCTGAACCATTTACATCAAAGAAGCTTGCAATTTATTGTCCCCAAAACATACGCGCTCCCAGAATAGGGCCAATTTGTATGGCAGCCAAACTACCGGTATGTTTTTAGATTGAGGGCTTCTACTGGGGATCCGTCAAACCCGGAGGCAACGTATGCAAACATATATATTTGATAAAGATAAAAAGTGACTAGAGGGTCATGGAGACACCATGAAGTGAAAAGGCAACAGCAGGACATATGAAATATGTGAACTTTGGCTTTAGGACCACAAAAAGAATTCGGAAACTAATTTGCGCTCAGATAGTCACTGCGGAAAATGAGAATCCCCCCCTCTAGTGGTCATACGTAGTGCTACATCAGTTTTAAAATGTCTTTTCTATCACCTTGATATAAATAAGATTTCCACTGTGTGTGTGAAAGTGGAATTGGACTCAAAGCTTTGCTATGTTATATTAAGCATGTAGAAGTGCTAATTGTACCTAAACAGTGCCCTGAAAATGTACCCTTGGTCCTAAATTACTCCTAAAAACTAGCAGTTCCCCTTCTGAAATGCAATTGTGCCTACAGCCTCATAGCTTTATATCTGCACTGTGAGATCGCAGGCACTGCTAGTCTCAGGAGATCTGGAGTGAGATTTGGTGATATCACTACTGTGCTGATCATTCTCCTTTGTTGGAGGTTCTAACATGAGGAAGCAAAGCCCTGCCTCTACCAAGATGACCACCTCCACTCAGAAACACAGTGCAGAAGAAGGCAAGCTCTTGTTAGCTGGTAAAATGGGGAATCAGCTCCAGGGTGACCAGTCATTTGCCCTCTGCCTGGATTTTTTGGCACAGCTTCCAGAGCTCACATCTTATTTAATGCTGACCGAATATGCCCTGAAATAAAAACCATCACCAAATAAAAAAATTATTTTTATTTCATCTAATGATCTAATAAACCTTCTCAGTTTTCTAACTGGGCCATACACCTATAGATTTTCTATGGTCAGATGGGAAAAGTGTAACAGATTCCTCCATCTACACTAAACTGTGTGGATGGAGGAATCTCACACTGGGCCAAGCTTCAGGATCTTGCTAGTCAGCCCCGCTGGCTCTCAAAATACCTGAACAATCTGATTGGATGCCGGCATTGTTCAGGTGTTTTGACAGCCAGTGGGGCCGACTAGATACTAAAGCTTGGCCCAGCGGGAGATTCCTCCATCCACACAGTTTAGCGTAGATGGAGGAATCTGTTGCACTTTTTCCATCTGACCATAGAGAATCTGCAGAAATCTATAGGTATATGGCCAGCTTTAGACATCAACTATACAAGAAGATTCTCTACCCAGCAGATAAGACAATTAAATGTTATATCAGCTCAGTCAAGTATTGCCCTGATCTTCCCGTCTCTCTCAACTTTGTACAGGGTGCTCATATGCAGTCGCCATGCAACACAATCAGTGCGACATCTGGTGGCAATACAGCTGCACTAAAATATGAAAGCAAAAGCAGCCGGGCACAAAAAAAAAACATCTGATCATTTGATGCAATCATTTCAATAAAATAATTTAAATCAATTGGTAGCCCAATCAATGAATGATCACTTTTATCAAAAAGAAAACTATTTGATCACTAGAAAATCTGATGAGATGTGATCAATAACATATATTCTTTGTTCTACTGAATGATTGAAAGATTTGGATGTTTGATGGAGTCTATCATCAGTCAACTGTACATCATTATGTATGGGCAGAATAACGGTGCTTTTTAGGTCCGAACATTCTGATTTAGTCTTCCATGTCAGGCCAAATTAAAGGAGAACTATGTCCTTTAATAGTTTAATAGTTCTCCTTAGGGTAACGGGAGGACACAAACTAGCGTCCTCCCGTCACGCTAGGCTCAGTATACCGCGAGCTGTAGCTCGCGGTTTACTGAGATGCCGCGGTATACAGAGATTCCGCAGCTGAAGCGGATCCCGACAATTGTGCCGGGATCCCCCCAGCTGCGTGACTGACAGCTGGCTCTGCCTATCTAAAGGCAGCTGTACCCGCCCCCTCCACTGTCCGTTTCGCCAGTCAGCGCTGGCGGATCGGAGCGGGGAGGGGGGTATCCAGCCCCTCCCCTGTCACGGCAGAGAGCCGTGACAGGATCGAGAGGTGAGCGAAGGCTGGTATGTGTTCGTTCACCTCCCGATCTACTGAGCCGACCTGTGACAGTCTCATTGTCACAGGTCGGCTAGAACTATGAGGTGTGTGAAAAGCACTCACCTCACAGTTCTCCTTTAAACATAGATCTAATAACTAGAAGTGACCCCTGCGGTAATCCTGCGGAAATTCATCAGAGCATGCAAAGGCAGACACATGACCGATACTATTAATATAACCAACAGTGGTCTGAAGGGAGAACTGTCACAGACAGTAGGTGTTCTCCCACAACAACAAATCAGATTCAGACTTCTGATCATAAAACAGCAAGCATCCTCCAACCTTTCTACACCTTCAGTTATGGTAACAGCACTCTCCCATCTAATGGGTGGCTAGAAATGGCTGCCGAGGTTCTGCTTCCTTAGTCACCTCTCCTCTCCCAGCCTGCTGATTGGACAATATAGGAGAGGCAGCACACTGATAAGGTCAACTTTGAGCTCTTCCCTGCTGAAAGCATGTTTACCCACTTACATCTACAGCACTGTTATGCAATATAGGCCCGAATGGCTTCTCTCTCCCAGAGAAGCTAATATAGACAAAGTTATAGAAGCCATTTTTGTAAAATGCATGTGATGGCTTTTCATGAATACATAACTTTATTTAAGGATGTATTTTCTGTTTGTGTTCCATCAACAGAGAATAAACGTAAAAGTTCACACCATCCTCAGTGCGTTCCGGCCCGATAGTGGGCGGAACACACTGGATCGCATTCTGGCCGGCTTACTTTGTTTTGGGGGGGAGGGGGTGGGGCAGTGCATTGAACTCAATAGCATCGCAGCCAGGCCCTCTGGCCGAAATGTGATCAGCCACATTCGTGCCTGCGTTCCGGTCCGGTGCAGTCGGAAAAAATAGTGCGCAGAAACTGGAATTGGCTTTAACCAGGACATATTTCTGAATATGTGAAACCATAATTACTTTTTATCTTTTGAATTTAAAGTTGAACTCTGGGTCGTAGAAAAGGTAACCCTTGCAGGGGGGGGGGGGGGTTTAACTTTTTTTTTCCCAGGAAAAATAGTGATAAATATGGTGAATTACTTGTTTTATTCCTGTTGCCCCATCAGCCGGGCCTCCCCGCATGTGGGCAGGTCCTCTGCATCCTCACATGCAATATCAGAACCACTTGTCCTGCCATTGTATGTGATGACATCAGAAAGCTGGGGCCAGTTGGGCAGGAAAGAGGAGTGGCTTCAGGCGATCGGTCTTATAGTCCGTCTTAAGAGGAGAAATCCTGTGGGGGTGAGGAATAACATTAGAATTTCACCTTATTCCTGCCCACCTTGACAGAACAAGCATTTAACCGCTGAAGGGGGACCCTTTGCAAGGGGTAGTTTTTCTCTAGCCCAGAGTTATCATTATACAGGATTTATATAGCGCCAACAGTTTGTGCAGCGCTTTACAATATAAGGAAGACATTACAATCACAATACAATTCAAGACAAGATGGTAAGGATGGTCCTGCCCATGAGGGCTTACAATCTAAAAGGGAGGGGCAAGTGATACATGAGGAGGAAGCAGTGTGGGGATGAATTGTTTGAGAGTTCAGCTGTAACATGAAAATTAAACATTACATAAGACATATAATGGGGCATGTGCACAAATTGCAACCTATCAGAGTACACCCTCTTTGAGAACTGTAGTTGTGAAATATTATAGCTAACATAAACAAGAAACACTGACACATCAATGTTAGCTTGACATTATGTATTACATGAGTGTGTTCCTTTAAATGCTGGAGACCACCGGCCTATAAGCTGCAGAGATTTATTTAAGGGACTGAAATCTCAGGCAGAGTGGCAAGCTTAAAGGCCCGCACATCTGTTGTTTGTATGTTATAAGGGTCATGATTATACCAACAAGAGGCTTACTGCAATTGTGTCAATTAAATGCCATGTGTATAAATGTTAGTAAAACCAGCATTGATAGTGGATAGTGTGTGCTGGTGGAACTATATCGGAGGGGAGATATGGCAGATTTTAGGATGCTGGAGCTAATTTAAAAGTAACGATAGTATATTTTCAGTGCTCGTTCTGAGTTTTGCTACACAAACTACAATGCTTTAGAAAAAGCACAGCCCAAATACAGTATAGCTGCTACATATATTATTGATATCAGAAAACAGGCTTTGGAAACATTAATAAGTGTTGATATGGATCTGTTACTCTGGGTGCAGGTTTAGGACCCCCTAAGTAGCTGCATTAAATGTCAATGCCACAATGTTCACCATTAACCTACTGCGGCATTAATTTGTATTGGTGCATACAATTTTCATTGCAATAGTTTAAACAAACAGGTGTAAACAAACACCAGAAGCTCAAACCCTGTTAGAAACAGAGCGAAACCTGACTTTACAATGTTTGTTGTGATCTTTGAGGATTAATTACTTCACAGTACATGCAGCTAGGGAAGTCAGGGGTGGCTTTTTCTTGTTTTTTTGGGGGGGGGGGGTTTAAAGCTCTTTTGTTGCTTGTTAGGAATATGCACAAACTTGATTCAAGACAATCACACACACAAATGTATCTACTTATCTACTCAAGTACTACTTATAACTAACTGTTAAAAAAACAGAACTAATTTTTTTAAAATAATAATTTTACTCTTACCCGGTTGGCGAGAATGCTGACTTTGCTGCCATTGGCATTACATCTGATGGACACAATGCTGCCCAATCCTGGCACCAACTCACATAGGTTTTTACAGTTGCTGTGGGCTTTGGCTTCCCTTTAGATAAACAGAAAGACAACATAATTAGAGTGTAGCAAGCTCTGTGACCATCTGCAGGATGTGATTGCAAGAACGTTCAATGCTAACCACATAATCTTCAATAGCAAAGCACAGTTATTGAAAACCTGCCTTCATATTCCTTTCCCCTAGATAACTACCTTTTTATTTGCCTATGATCGGCTAGCAACTAAAGCTGAACTCTAAGCAGATATAAAAAAAACATTAATGAACGCAGCTATGTACTTATTATTTGAAATGCAACAAATATAAATCCCTAAATACTTAATTTTAGCCTATTTTAATCCACTGTAAACATGCTGAGTACAGGAGAAAGCAGATAGGAGACTTTATCAGTCTGTTGTTTCTTCTCTGTCCAATCACATGCTGGAAGCAGGGAGATGACTTATCTGAACTGCTTAACTGTAGAAGAGGAACATCAGGTCAACAACCTGACTGGCAGGGCTTTGTATATCTTAGGGCTGGATGGACAGAACTAAACATTTCCAGGCAAGTAAAACAGCTCCCATATATGATTTTGATGGTGAATTTAGATGTTTGCCTGGAGTTCAGCTTTAAAGTATGCACAGACGTTGTATGACCTCACCGAATCCAGCCAGTTTTCACTCAGAAAGGAAAAAGGTTAAATGGCAGGGTTGATTTTCCTCATTGCTTCAGTTCCATGATATAAGGCTGGTGGTGGGGCTGTCTGTGCAACCCAATATAAGAATGCAGGTTCATACACCAGCCTGCCAGCAAAAAGAACCTTCAGCAGATGGACCTTGAACACAATCCAAACATCATCATGTCTTTGGCCAGCTTACTGTCACCACATGACTTTCTTGAGCATCCTAGGAAATAAAGAAAACAGTTCTCTAGAGATTACCTTCTGGAGAGATCAAAAAGCTTAAAATGTGCCGTATTTGTGGCCACCGCCAGGAAGCTCCCACATATGTCCAGTAAACAAGGGCTCCCCTCCGACACTGAGAATGGGAGTAACTGCTTGACAGTGCCCTGAAACATAACGGTAGGTTAATACAACCACAAACAAAATAGATATCTAAATACTCAAAATATAATATCTAAAGATATCCAAATCTAACTAGTCAGAGGGGAGAAACAGGCAGGGTTGATAACTGCTTGGGATTTCAGTGCATTGGAGGCGCAGTGTAGTGAAAGTTAAGAGCTTACTGGATTTCAGGCAGGCTCAACGGGTATTTTTTGTACTTACTCAACAAATATACTGTAAGAAAATGTTTTTAATTGTATATTTAACAAATTTAAACAAAGCAAAAATGTATATGTCAGGATTGCAGATGGCTTGGAGTATTGAACTCTGTGCTAGCTTCTTCTAACTCTAATGGCAACATTTCCCAGCAGCAAGTTGTGTGTCTTCTTATTCCTACAAGGCCATAGATGGGTGTCCTATCTTACAGCTTGACTCCCTAACAATTTTACCTTTTCATATAATCCATCAGGTGAATGACTTTGCCATGACTAAAGCAATTGGGCAGAATTTGGAATTCAAGTGGGGACACATCACCTTTGGAGACTTTAAAGTGACATTAAAGCCAAAATTCGTTAATTACCTTAAACGATGCCTCTTGAAACGATCATCTTCTTCTTTCCTGTAGTTTTCAGTAGTGCCTCCAGCGCTGGTGCCGGTCTCTAATCCAGCGCTGACTCCTGTCTCTTCCTGTGTCATGGAGTTTGTGCGGGTGCACACAGCTGCATTAACTTACCCTGTGTCTCTCCCCTTCTCCCGGCCAAAGATGTGTACTGCGCATGCGCCTGCCCATGATCCTTTGCGGCCGCCCGAGAATCTTCAGATCTTTGGAGAGGAGCGCGTGGCGGAGACACATGTAAGTTTTAACCCTTTTGTAAACTTTTTTTTAATGTTTTTACATATATCTACTGCTTGCTGGCAGTAGATATATGCAAAAACAAGCGAGACTTTAATTATCCTTTAAGAAATATTACATTCCAAATTGTGATTCATCTTGCCAGAAATACCAGTTTTGGCTGGTGTTGGCCTTTAAAGGAGAATGATTTTCACTCAGCCTCATAATCTGAGCCAACCTGTGACAATGAAACTGTCACAGGTCGGCTCAGTAGATCGGGAAGTGAGCGAACACATTGCGTCGCTCGCTCACTTCTCGATCATGTCCCTGCAGACCTGCAGAGAGCCGTGACTGTCACTCACGGCTCCCTGCAGGGATTCCCCCCGTCCGATCCTCCAGCGCTGACTGGCGGAACGGACAGGCGGGGGGGCGGGCACAGCTGGCTCTGCCTACCTACTATCACTCACGCAACTGAGTGGATCCAGACAGCATTGTCGGGATCTGTTCCGGCTGCGGCGTCTCAGTATACCGCGAGCTGTAGCTCGCGGTATACTGAGCTTTGGGTGAGGGGAGGACGCTAATTTGTGTCTTCCCGTTACCCTTAGGAGAACAATGGGGAAAAGCCCTAACCCCATAGTTCTCCTTTAAAGACCAACTGAAGTCACAAAAGGATATATGCAGCCAGATAGACATTAGAATGAACAACTGAGTAAAGCCGGGTATACACGCTTATATTGTCTTCGTTCAACAGCTCCCGTTGTGAGTTTTGTATGCTGACAGCACAGTTCAGCCAAAGATTTTCCAATATGATCTTTTGGTAAAAGTCGATCTAATGATTGAATTCTGGCACAGCAATAGGGTACACACGGAGTGAATTTCACCCGATTCCTGCTGCATTGGGCAAAATTCGCTCTATGTGTACCCTACTTAAGACCCAATGCTCTCAGTAATTCACACAGAGCTGGTCAGGCACACCCCTCAGCCTTCAAGGACAAGTGATGAGAGGTGAGGCTGTAACTCAGCTCTGCCAGAACAGAACACTGCATAGTGTGAAAGCTGGAAGCAGCACTTTCAGTGACAGAATAAGGCACTTCCTAACAAAAGTCAGTCACAAATCATAACATGCAAGGATACATGTCTATAAAGAGATAGATATATGCGAGACTTCAAATGGACTTTCGTTATGCTCAAAAGGTAAACAAATTCAGTAAAGGTGTACACAATAAAAATACAAATGTTATTTATAATAGTCTGTAGACTGACCTGTAAAGTGCGAATTTGGACTCTATTTGGCTCCACAGTGTAGATGTTCTCCTCGTGTATTGCCAGGACAGGAGAGTCACTAGCAAAGGAGCCTAAATACAAGATAACAACCGCTTTACAAAGAATACCCTCAAAACACAGCAGTTACCTAACAGCCGCAGCTCACACAGGAGCCACAGTGCCCAGCAGGGAACACTATTCAACAAACCCTAAAATGTCAGCCAGCAGTAGTGCTCAGTAGAGATTTAATATGCGGCCCACCAATAAGTATAAAACTTCTTCTTTTATAGGCTGTTTATTATTTTTTACTATGGCAACAGGGATTTAAGGATCATTCATCTTTTTTTTAAAGATGATACTCTTGTATATACAGACTTGTAAAGTTACTAACCAGGAGAGAGCTATTCGCACTTCAGTATTGGTGGTGAAGTGCATCTGACATTGCACCCTTAAACTGCTGCATGCTGTAGGTTGGGTTCCCTTTCTGTAGGGTGCAGTTATAAGCGTTCTGTAGGACAATTTACTAACATACTAAGGGCCCAAAGGAAATCTCACCGCTCCAATTCCTTAGCCGCCATCAGGACTCATCAGCTGGTTGGGGGTGTGCGGTGCTGGCATTTGTTGCTTTATGCACTTTTATTCACTGTTATACGGGATTTGCTGTGAATTTCAATCAAGTCCGAAGTATTGAAATTCTCTGGATAGTGCGGTCTGTTCGTATACTAATACTAAGGGCCCATTCACACTACATCCAGATAATCTCTAGACCAGACCAGATTGTTTACGGACCCAAAATGCATCCTAATGTATCCCTATGCTATTTCTGGCCTCTGTTCACACCACCACAGTCTGTTTCGGACCAGAAAAATACTGCTTCTCCTATTTTGTCCGGTCTGGAATGCACTGAAACTGCGGGCAGGTTCACACCATTTTCTGGGCCAGATCCCTTCTGGAAAATGGTGTGAACCTGCAACCGTCCTTTGTAGGCCACAGGCCTGTCAGAGCACAATTGGAGTACAGTAATTCTTTCCAGCTTTGTACTCCCATTCTGTTCTAGATTTGTATATGCGTTTGTATCCAGAAAGCATCTTTTTAGCAAATAAACTATGTCTTGACCGCTGCATTCTACATTGACAGCACTGACTTTGTTGCTGAAACCCTCCCACTGTGAGCTGCAGTGTCTGTGAGACACAAATAAAGGAGGATTTAGCTCACTGAGGGAACCTAAAGGAATATCTTTGTTTACCTTATGAGGCTTCTACATTACATAGTGACTGGATTTGGCACTTGTTTAGACTGTCATGCAGAAGCCTTAAGGTTGTACTTTAACTACCCTTCCCACAGCTTTGTTCTTTGTTTGAGCTGAGCCTACTCATTTGTCTTCTGTTTTTCTCGCAAGGAATGTCAGACTTGTTACAGATTGATAGAGGAATAGTGCTACAAGGTATTTATTTATGCCAAATCCTGTTAGTATAGTTATGATTTATAGGACACATTAACAGACTGCCAGACATATGTCAGCTTCACAAAACTGATATGGGCTTCACTTTGAAAAACTACATTTCAATGTAACCAGAACATGAGTGATTACCAGCAGAGGGCAACAGCACAAGCAGCATTATAAAGGCAGCAAATGTATTCCTTCATCTCAGAGGTGACACAGCAGCCTTCCTTTGGAATAGGTAATCTAGATGGCTAAAGTGAACTTGTCACCGTCTGTTGACCTACACACCTGTGTTCCTCAGCGCTGGTCCAGCGAGTTCATAGACGGTCACCTGCTTTCCATTCCACACTGCGATACAGTCCTGCAAAATCACATGGCTTAATTAGACTTAGCTACAAACATTAAAGTGGACCATCGAGGATAAAAATAATAGTAGTCACTGACCTAGAAGTATGGAAAGCATGAGCTCCAATTTTGGTTGCTTATTCTAGGTTGGTAACTCATAAAGTGATGATTTTTTATGTTAGAGGGAACATCGATTAATATTAAAGGTGATTAAGCAGTACTCTAAAAATGTCACCTATTGTCTTGAATTCCTCCTGAAAATAGCAGAGCATTTCCTGTGTCTAGGCACTCCTGTGCTTCAAAGGAGAACTATTAGGAGAGTAAAATGTACTCTTCCCAATACGTTGAGCTGGTGTGTGGCACTGCAGCTATCACATGCCGGCTCTATAGCTCAAGACCTGAGTGATCACAAACTGCTGTAGTAGCCCGCTATATGCCGAGTTTGGGTTAGTAAATGTACTCCTGTGACCTAAAAGAGAACTAAAGCCAAAAATGGTTTAAGCCTTGCACCTGTATATCTGCATCATCTAAGCACTGCTGCCCCTGACTGCTAGTCTCTGGAGAACTGGTGATGTCACTACTTTGCTGCTCACTGTCCTCCTTAAGGCCCTGTTCACACCAAAGCGTCATCGTTGTTGCTCCTTTGTACACGCAGGTGCAGCTAGCTTTTTTTGCACGTTTATGCATGTTTTGCACACACACAAACGTGCAAAAACACACTCAAAGATGTGCAACATGCTTCTGTCGCGTGTTTCCTGGCTTTTCTATTAAAGTCAATGGGGGAAAAACGAGCTGCAAACTGCCAAAAGAAGCTCATGTACTTTTTTTCTGCGTTTGGCGTTTTGCTGCTCAGGTGTGAACAGGGACCATTGAAAATCATGGGATTTCTTGTGTTTGGCATTTTGAAGCACTTTTTCTACTGCTCAAAAAAACGCCTAGGTGTGAACCAGGCCTAATGGAGAGGAAGCTCTAGCTGAGGACCTGTAGCGATTCTGCTTTACCCATTCTGTGAATCTATGCTTCCCCCAACTACCCTACTGCTTCTTGAATATTGTTCCAAAA